CCACGTCGACCCTGTGACGATCCCAGGTGCCTTGTCCACGTGGCAACATTTTCATATATGATATGCGTGCATATGTTTCTTTTCTCCGGGTGCGAGACGATTAGTGCAAGCGGATGCAGAGATCAAACCCCTTTGATATGAAATTCGAGCTGTTTTGGCTCCCGTCACACGCACGGGCTTAGCTTCGGGGGCTTTAAGGGTGGGAAAACGTGACGACACCTCGCACGTGTTGCACATGACGTGAAAGCTAAGACACGGGGCTTTCGATCCATAGTAACGACAAGACCCTGTGGTCGATGTACGAAACATAACAAGCATCTGCAGCGTGAAATACTGCCGTAAATCGGGTCAAATCGGGCTTAAAAGCGCCCCGTCTTCGAACCCGTTAAAGACAGGTCACTTCTGATGATACCACCAGTTGGCCCTGGGAACCAGCTTCACGTCGGTGTGCAACATGTCAATGGATTGTGTATAGTCGTCGTCCACGCGACGTTTAAACAACAACACCCACGATTTCTGGTCCGTGTTATAGGTTGAACTCTTACGGGACTACCTGGATCGACAAATCAGAAGACTACCAGCGCCACGACTAGAACAATGTCTTAGATAGGAATGGCAACGGATCACCAGCAACTTCATTCGTCGTTTTACGTCATCCATGCGTCAATGTGTTTTGGCCTGTATTGAAGCCAATAGTGGTCACACTCACTATTGATTCTGTAACATTTGATGTTGATTTGTGTCAAGGTTCAGACTATAGGTTCACACATTTTGCCCAATAGATGTTCATTTGTACATGTTTTTATTTTGTTTTTGCCAGTCAAACACACTGCATACTTTCTTTGAGCACTAGTTTACTAACACACACTCTCAAACACATACATGTATACACAAACACTCACATATACACACACTCTAACACACATACGGGCTGTGGGTAGCTTGAAAGTGGTTAAAGCGCGTTCGATCGTCACGCCGAACACCGGGTACAATGTGTGAAGCCAATTTCTGGTGTTTCCGCCATGATGTTGCTGGAATATTGCTTATAGCGGCGTAAAACCCAACTCAGTCAGTCAGTCAGTCAAACACACATACACACGCACAAACCCATACGCTCAGACACACGCAGCACAGTTTAAATATCAACTACACATCCATTGCTTTTGTTTTCATCTACATGCGATACAGGTAGGGTTCACGGAGGCGTTTCCAGAATATAATCCCTATATTATACAAAATCAGCGGTTATACTCACCAGCCAGAAGCAGGACACAAAAGACGAAGGCTCGCAACATGGTGTACACTCGTGTCAATAATGCACAACTGTCGAGTTCCACCGTTCTTTAAGCTTTATGTGTTCCAGCCTGTTTATCTCTGTCACTGAGACAGACTTTATCAGAGCCTTTTTGGTTGTTGGAACCAAGATTACAAGAATTAAAATTATCTGAACCAGGTTTGGAATGTCCTGAAACACGTGCACGACCGACATTTTCACAGTGATCCTGACGAGTTATCTTTTGGACGTTTGTGAGTGAGTGAGTTAAAATTGTCCGTCGAATCGGAATTGTGTCTATCATAGAGCGAGGTCACCTACGCAGGTCGTAGACTTTTAAATCCCTGGTATTGTATTGCATTGTAACGTATTGTATTGTATCGTATTGTATCGTATTGCATTGCACTGCATTGCATTGCATTGCATTGCATTGTATTGCATTGTATCGTATTGTATTGTATTGTATCGTATTGCATTGCATTGTATCGTATCGTATCGTATTGTTTTGTATTGTATTGTTTTGTGTTTTATCGTATCGTATTGTATCGTATTGTATTGTATTATATTGTATCGTATCGTATCGTATTGTATTGTATTGTATTGTATTGTATTGTATTGTATCGTATCGTATCGTATCGTATTGTATTGTATTGTATATCATTGTATCGCATCGTATTGTATCGTATCGTATCGTATTGTATTGTATTGTATTGTATTGTATTGTATTGTATTGTATTGTATTGTATCGTATTGTATTGTATCGTATTGCATTGCATTGTATCGTATTGTTTTGTATCGTATTGTTTTGTATTGTATTGTATTGTTTTGTTTTTTATCGTATTGTATCGTATTGTATTGTATTGTATTGTATTGTATTGTATTGTATCGTATCGTATCGTATCGTATCGTATCGTATCGTATTGCATCGCATCGCATTGCATTGTATCGTATCGTATTGTATTGTATTGTATTGCATTGTATTGTATCGTATTGTATTGTATTGTATTGTATCGTATTGTATTTTTGAGTATGATTGTTGTTTTACTCCACACACAGCAATATCCCAGCTATGTAACGGTAGTCTGAAAATAATGAGTCTTGACAAATCTGTCCAGTGATCAACAGCAAGAGCATCGATCTATGCGGCATTTCAAAAGATGCTTTCTTTCTTTTGTTTACAAGTTATATTACGGCGGTCTGTAAATAATCGACTCTGGACCTGACAATCCAGTGATCAACATAATGAGCATCGATCTTCACAGTTGTGATATGATAACATGTGTCAACCTGGTCCCAAAAGGTCACGGAGACTAGACAGCATATAGACTGAGCAGAAATGCCGTCCCCACCCTGACCCACATGTTACACGTGCTGCCTCCTAGGCCACGAGACCTATTGTAAGAGGCGTACATATGTATGTGCACCATGCTGTGAATGGGTACCCGGTAGGATTTGAATACTGCACTACACATGCATATTGGGTTATATACTCCTTAAGGAGCTGAAAATGAACACTGGTACACTGACCAGGGTAATATTTCTCTTTTCTACAGTTATTACGAACTCAAAATAAACAGTACGATCTAATGGAAGTGGGTTCCACCTCGGATTATAATCTCTTTGTGTTTTCGAAATATATATGCGGCCTTTCTTAAAACATTCAATATCCACAAATGGCCACAGCGATGAGTGAGTGAGTGAGTTGAGTTTAACGCCGCACTCAACAACATTCCAGCTATATGGCTGCGGTCTGTAAATAATCGAGTCTGTATCATCTAGAGATCAACAACATTAGCATCAATCTATGCAATTGGGAACCGATGACATGTGTCAACCAAGTCAGCAAGCCTGGCCACCCGATCCCGTTAGTTGCCATATTTCTGAGCCGCAAGCTAAAGTTGGGAATACTTTGTGGTCAAAGATGAAAAGAAGAACAGATAATGTTAATTTTCAGAAATTAGTATGGAAACGTAGTAGGGCCACGGTGGAAAATCTTTTTTGTGTCACTATCTCCTACGTAGGAGTTATTAAGTCCTATGTACTAGGACTTAGTATCACTTAGTATCTCCTACGTAGGACTTTGTATCACCTACGTAGGACTTTGTATCACCTACGTAGGACTTTGTATCACCTACGTAGGACTTAGTATTTCCTACGTAGGACTTAGTATCTCCTACGTAGGACTTAGTATCACCTACGCAGGACTTACTATCTCCTACGTAGGGCATACTATCTCCTACGTAGTTCTTAATATATCCTTTTTAAGGTTCGGATTATGAAGTATGGTTATTACGTTGAGAAATGTTTGCCTATGCAGGACGTTAAATAGTAGAAATGTGAGTCAGTGAATATCCATGACACTGACGCAGTGTTACTATACACAGTTATTGGTGTGTATTATGATAGGGTGACGTGGATCCTGTTCTAACTGCAGTTATGAGGTGAAATTGGGATTAACGTCGTGCTTGAGATAACTGCAGCTATGGAGGTTTGGATATGGTTATGTTTAATTCATCATACATACATCTATTCACACACACACACACACACACACACACACACACACACACACACACACACAGGCTGGTGGGATGGTTGGGGAGAGGTTCTGATATGAAACTCGACCTCCGTAAGTTGTTGCTTGTCTTCAGATGGGGTTAGGTTGGATCGGATGCAACGCTCGTTTGCGGCCTCGTTTCCTCGTAAATGCTTACAGGTTGACTTGACTAGAGGTGGAAAGTGTTGAGGGGTAAAACAATACGAAATTCAAAAAGGCAAAGAATTGTCATTATAGTTACTTGTATAATTATAAGGATACGTACGTATAGAATGCCACCGATAGTCTAAGACACGTCTGTACACGCAGATTTATGACTCATGTGCAACGACCTCTGAAATATCCAACTCATAATAGTAAAGTGTAACAAACTGAAACATATAACAGTGAACTAATCTGCAACTCGTAATAGTAGAGCAAACTGGAACGCAAGGCAGTAAAGTATAACAGTCGATCCAACACAGTAAAGTGCAACAATTTGTTGAACGCATGACTTTTATAGTGAAGGAAACAGTAGACTCTAATAGTAAATGAAACACATGATAGTAGACTCTAATAGTGAATGAAACGAATGACTGTAGACTCTAACAGTGACTGAAACAGTGAAACAGGAGATCGTATGCGTGTCTGGGGGATTTAAGTCGACCATTTCAGATTAATATACATAAACGTATAACGACCATCTCCTACAGGAGATATTAAATCCTACGTAGGAGATAGTAAGTCCAACGTAGGAGATAATATGTCCTTCGTAGGAAATATTAAGTCCTACGTAGGAAATATTAAGTACTACGTAGGAGACAGTAAGACCAAAATCCCGTAGTACGGAAGCGTAGTAGACCACGGTGAAAATCTTTTGGTGTCACTATCTCCTACGTAGGGACTTAGTATCATTTGTTAGCTGAGAACGTAAATTATTTAACACCTCTTCTCTGATATGACCAAAAAATTGTGCTGCCCTCTTTGACAACAGATTTAATATGAATGATTCTGTACATAGCCTCACTCATCATATACATCTCATCATGACCAGAATCCACGACTGATATATACGGAGTTGTTCCCCTTAGTTAATGACAGGATCCTCTTGAGAAAACGCTTGATCCATGGAATGAATGTAATTAGCATTAGCAATAACTGACTGGAAAGAATGACTATAAACAACGACTCGTAGTACACATTGTTCTTTATGTGTTCACATGTACAGCTACGGCCAAAAAGCACCCTGGTAAGGCAAACAGTGACAGTAGCAGCCTTCCCGGACCCTAGAACATAGGATTGAAAATATTCATTCGTTGATGTAAAGGGACACTAATTCAAATCAACGAGACTAAACAGGGCGACCTAGTTCAGAAACCTTTGTTTTGGTTGTTGTAGGTGTTGCTGTTTTATATAATTGCTGTTTTTGTTCTTTATTGTTGTTTGTTGTTGTGACCGTTATTTGTAATTGTTGTTTGTTGTATTTGTAATTGCTGTTTGTTGTTGATCTTGGTTGTTCAGTATGACTTTGTTCTCCGATCATCATGAGAGTGTAGATTTAAATTCTGGAGTTTCTGACTTACGCAAAAGTATCGACCCCATTTCACAAGAATTCATTATATGTCACCCGTCAGATCCACAGACGGGTGCGTAGTTCTGTGGACATCCCTCGGACATAGACGAGGGTCGGTCGCACCCAACCACTGTTAATGTAACTGAAAAGTTCTTTAACTTATGCCAAAGTCTAAAAACAATTTGCGATCGATATATTGCCTCTCGACCTTTGCAAACCTATAGTTAATGCGGTCCACGCACGCAAGCACGCACACACACAGGCATGCACAAACAAAAGAAACATGCATAAATTCTAGACACAAACACATAAACTAGTGCTCAAAGGAACCATATACACCGCAAAATATTACATAAAAATTCACAAGAATGTCGGAAAATGAAGCTATAAAACCATACTGGAGCCAAGTCATACATGTACAGACCCATCCTTTCTAGGAGTATGAGGAGTGAGTTTAGTTTTACGCCGCTTTTAGCAATATTCCAGCAATATCACGGCGGGGACACCAGAAATGGGGCTTCAAACACGGCCCAATAGATGTTCATTTATAAATGCTTTTAATTTGTTCAAGTTAGTCAAACACACTGTGTAATTTCTTTTGAGCACTAGTTTACTAACACACTCTCAAACACATACATGTATACACAAACACTCGCATATCCACACACACTCAAACACGCATACACACGCACATACCCTTTTATACTCTCAGACACACACACAGCACATAACTCTTTGAGTGGCATTTTAGAAGTTAGGAGATGCCGATACAGATTCTGTACCGTTGTCAAGCAAGAATGGTATGTAAGAATCTGTATCGGAACGTCGTACTCACGAATAAAAGAAGTTGTTGTCCATAAAGTTTGTTCTATATTACACAGAGCACAGTTTATCAACTACACATAAATTGCTTTTTGTTTTCATCTACATGCGATACTGGTAAGGTTCAATGGAGGCGGTCTCCAGAATATAATCCCTATATTATACAACCAGCGGTTATACTCACCAGCCAGAAGCAGGACACAAAAGACGAAGGCTCGCAACATGGTGTACACTCGTGTCTGTAATGCACAACTGTCGAATTCCACCGTTCTTTAAGCTTTATGTGTTCCAGCCTGTTTATCTCTGTCACTAAGACAGGCTTTATCGGAGCCTTTTTTTGGTTGTTGGAACCAAGATTACAAGAATTAAAATTATCTGAACCAGGTTTGGAATGTCCTGAAACGTGTGCACGACTGACATTTTCACAGCGATCCTGACGAGTTATCTTTTGGACGTTTGTGAGAGAGAACGAGTTCAAATTTTACGTCGAAGCGGCATAATTTCTGGTCATAGAGCGAGGACGTTTGTGAGAGGTGAGTTATGCAGGTCGCAGACGTTTAACTCCGCTGGAATTGTTTTGCATTGTATTGTATTATATTGTATTTGTTTGTATGTTTGTCGCTTAACTCCGCACAGAGCAATATCTCAGTTTCATGGCGGTAATCTGCCATTGATCGAGTTTGGACCAGACAGTCCAGTGATCAACACCATGAGTATCGATCAATACGCCCGCGATGACATGTTTCAATAAATTATGGAATAAATGCGCTGGTTGTATTGTTTGATGCGTTCACTCGTGTCGACGAAGATTCCGGGTTCGATTTCCACATGGGTACTATGTGTGAAGCCAATTTGATGTTCCCTGCCAGGATATTGCTGGAATATTGCTAAAAGAGACGTAAAATCATATACCCCCGGTGCAGATTGTGTGCGCGACAAAAATAAGGGAAGTAACTTTGCACGACTGCGATGACGTGAAGCCGACTGGTTCACACACTTGACTTTACGCTCAGTCTGTGCATCAGTGAATGCGGAAGTTTCCGTTTTCGTGTAATTTTAAATATGATTGAACTTACGAGAAGAAAACACAAAGCAAATGAAAAAATGCCTGTTTCAGTTTGAACAATGCGAATATTTTCGTCAAATATAATGTCGAAAAGACGTGCATGTTAGGGACATTGAAAAGTCCATACCAGTCGTAAAGTAACTACATACGTATCCTTACGAAACACAGAATAGGTAAATACGTATCCTAAAGTAAGTAGATACGTATCATAAAGTAAGTACATGCTTATCCTAAAGTAAGTAAATACGTATCCTAAAGTAAGTAAATACGTATCCTAAAGTAAGTACATGCTTATCCTAAAGTAAGTGTATACGTATCCTAGAGAAAGTACGTATCCTAAAGACGTTATACATACGTACCCGTGAGGTCCGGGTTAGAATGAACTTTCAGTAACCAATGCTTCTCGAAAGAGGCGACTAACGAGATCAGGTGGTTGACTGGGTTGACACATGTCATCGGTTCCCAATTGATCGATGCTCATGCTGTTGATCACTGGATTGTTTGGTCTAGTCTCGATTATTTACAGACCGGCGCCATATAGCTGGAATATTGCTGAGTGCGGCGTAAAACTAAACTCACTCACTCATTACATACGTATGCTGGAGTGAATATATACGTATCCTAAAATCAGCACACACGTATCCACAAGTCTTCGGCTGCTGACAGGGAACAAACAGTAACCGATACGTCATATTGTCCCATACACATGTTGTGCCCAACACAAGGTCTGACCATATGTGTTTATTACAATCAAATATGGCTGCCATAATGATCCTCAGACAGGAGCGGCTGTGGGGTAGCCTACTGGTTAAAGCATTCGCTCGTCACGCCGAAGATCCGGGTTCGATTCCCACATGGAGTACAATCGTGAAGCTCATATCCGGTATCCCTTTCGTGATATTGTTATTGGAATATTGCTAAATCATACTATCAACCTCTGGTATCCGAGATCGTGACGGTATTGAAGTTCATGAAAAGAGGTATGTGAATGATTCTGAAATCTCTGGAAATTCTTTGAGCAAAAGATGTGGCTGTAGGGCAAGTTGGCCATATGTAGCCTCCTTTGATGAGCTATTTAATGTTAATGTTGGTTGTCGCACGTGCTAAATGTGAGTGTCGCGCGACGAACGCTTTATCCATAGCTACCGCCCTTGTACTAAAATGTAATTATGTAATACTTCCCTCGTGGTGGTACACAAATCTATAAATAATAGACTTTCACTTTAGTTCGAGAAACTTCAAAGCATAATGGTCTAACATTGTCCCTCTCTTTGACAAAGGCTCATAGTCCAATGAGCTCAATTATTCCTGAAACTCAGGTCTTACGTAAGGGAACATAAACTGCAATTCAGGATTTATACATCACGCACAGAAAGGATAACATAAGGTGGTCATACACGGAAAATCAGAATTTATTTCCTGTAAAATATTATCAGTGAGAGAACGGGAAAGTTGGATACGATTTCATTCTTTCTTCGTGACGTTTAGAAATTATGTGTGACAGAAATTGATTGACTAATTTTCTGACATGTAGTAGAACTTACTCAAAATATAGTAAAAAACCGTATGTTTCCTGAACTTTGTTCAAAATTGCCTCTGTTCACCAAGCAGAAAATGGGTGGCCGGTGGGATACAGTCATGTAACTATAACCTTCTGCGCTCTAACAGGCAGTGGCCCGAAAGTTACCCGGGATAATAATAATCAGATTGTTTCATGCGCTTTCGAGCATGCATTGTGCATGGAGCAATGCGCATGGTAAATGGCCTATTATTATTATTATTACTTGGTTCTAAAGTTGTGGTTTGAATTCGATATTCGAGGGATTATCAAAAGGTTTCGAGCCTAAAATACTTCTGATATTTGCAAAATAAAAATAACTATGATATTAAAGAATGTTTTTTTATCATCTAATGGGGGTGTTATCGGTGCAATATAGCAATCTGATAAACTTGGTATCCAAGTCTGATAATTATGCAAATTACGTCAATCCAGGAACTACTTTCTCAAAACTAAAACGTTAAACATTTAATTGATGACCCGCCGCTGAGTTTACATTGGCGCTGAGTTAGTGCGAGTGAGTGAGTTTAGTTTTACGCGCTCTTTTAGCAATATTCCTAGTAATATCACGGTGAGGACACCAGAAATGGGTTTCACACATTGTACCTATGTGGGGAATCGGAACCCGGTCTTCGGTGCCAATAAAGTTTAACGCTTTTAACCACTAGGCTACCCCAATCACCTTTACATTGCGTGGACGAGTTTGTAAGCATACATGGCTGCCCCATTATCAAAATGGTGATTCTGTAAGAATTGATGACAGAGGTTCTGGAGTCGTTACTGCAGTAATTGACTTTGGAAAACATGAAACGGAGCATTTCGTTCAAATTGAAAGTACGGATTATGAGGCACGAGTGACCGGCTATCGTCTAAAAAATGTACCAACCAAGGATTTAGATCTATCGATCACAACAAAGAAGACGACGAATCGATTCTGTCAGGTATCAGAAACTGATATTGATGAGGTGATTACCTGCAATGAACATAGAAACACTACCAATACCTGCCTGATTTTGTTGTTCTTTTTAGAAAGAAAGATCTTATTTTAGGCATGAGCTATGTTTGCACTGTATTAGCGACTAGTCACAACCATAAGTAGTAGTAGGTGTCCCCATACCCGGAAAACGTCCAAGCGTTATTCATCTACATTCGGCAAAATCGAAACAGCTTTGATCTCTCGGGAGCGCGACCGCCCACACCCACAAAGTAAATAATCCCATCCCGGTAAGTAAATAAATACCCCGCGCCCAATGTAACGGCGCACGCGTCTTTTGAAAATTCATAAGACACTAAACTAAGCCGTGTTCAAACAACACTCCTCGAGAGAGGTAAAACGAAGTGGCGTGGTGCCTACGTGTCAGGTACAAAAGCGCCCGCAATGCTCAATCGCTTTCAATCATCCCGTGGACTACTGCCGCATCGCAATCTATCATGAAACAATATAAATGGGTGACTATCGCATTTCCACCTCGAACTCAAAGGCAACATTTTGGTGAAGAAGTAATTATATCCACGTGCGACGAATGGTTTCCCACAAAGAGGGAGTGTTTAAATCACCTTTAAATATAGAAGAGGAAATCTTCTGGACACGGATTTACCGGATTCTGGGGTTCCGTCACATTTTTCATCTATTCCAGAAAATTGGTTACGGATTTGTTATAGTTCAACAAATTCATGGATTTAATAGTGGACGAAGTGGAATCGCACAACATCAATCTATGTCTGAGGAACTTTTAACTCGTGCCTACATAGATACAGCCCGTCAGAGCGATATCCCTATACAAATAACTCGGGATGAAATATCTAAATTCGTCAAAGAACTATTATTATCTTCTATCGATGAAGTTGAAGTCACCCGCTGAAAATTCTCATTTCTGAAACCCCGATCCTATGGAATGTATCGCCTCTATACTTACTTAAATACGAGTGCCGAGATTATCGTGATACAATATTGAAAACGGACCGCTGGATAGAGCGAGTAATCAAAATTATTTTACGCACTCTAAACTCGGGTCAATGGGTATGAACAGACCAGAACTTTTACCGACGCAACTATTTTGATCCAAGACAACCGGGAGCATTTGCCGGAGCACAGAAATTCGCTTAAGCCCTCGCGAACGATCACCCAAACGTGAAATCGCGAGATGTTAAAATGGTTACAGAAACAAGAAGCCTATTCTCTTCACCAGCAACCATCAAAAAATTTTAAGAGAAACAAGGTCATTGTCAGCGGAATCAATGTTCAAGCGGACGCGGATCTATGCGACGTTGGAAATCTGTCGGAATTCAATGACGGAATAAAATACATTCTTATCCTAATCGATTGTTTCTCCAGATATCTATGGTATGCTACAGTGAAAGACAACTCGTCGAAAACGATAGCAAAGGCCATGGACAGGGTGTTGAGCTCCATGGACAAACCACCGTTCCCTTGTCTGTGCGTAGAAGTCGGTAAACAAGGTATTTAAGAACTTTCACGTTAAACACTTCATTACGCATAATTCCGACGTAAAAGCCAACTACGCAGAACGGTTTATTCGCACGCTTAGGACTCTCATGTTCAGATATTTCACTTACAAAAATACCTACAAGTATCTAGATGTTTTACCGGATCTTATTTTCAACTATAATCATCGACCTCACAAAGGATTGAGAGGGAGGTCTCCCGCTGCCATAAC